GGGGCGGGGGCAGGGGCGTGCAGGCAAGGGGCCGAATGGCTACTGGGTTCAGAACACCTGTCTCAATAGTGCAGCACTGTGCACGCTTGCACGCACCAGCACAAACACTCACACACACTTGCTCGTGACGCCCCCTATTTACACGCACCCGCACCCACACACTTCACGAGCGTGCACGCCTGCACATATAACGCGTGCGTGCACCCCGCACCCGCATGCAACCACCACCCAGCCTACTTCCACGCCAGTGACACTGCCGCCTTCCGCTTCATGATGGACCTGAACTATATGGGAGTGGTCCATGCTGTGCGCGCTGTTCTGCCGGGCATGCTGCGGCGCAAAGAGGGACACCTGGTGGCCGTGGCGTCGACGCTGTCGCTCATGGGTGGGCGCCGGGCCGGCCGGGCCTCTGCGGCCGGGCCTCTGAGGCCGGGCCTTTGCGGCCGGGCCTCTGCGGGCGGGCCACTGCAGGCGGGGGCGCAGGCGGCCCGCGGGGCAGGGCGCTGACGTGGCTGCGTGTGTGGCGCGTCGACGGTAGCAGGATTTGAGTGCATGCAGCGGAAAACACAGTGCACAGCAAAATGCATGGTGGCTGAGGTGCGGCGGCGCCCCCAAGCGTTGTCAGGAGAGCCTCTAGGATTCCTGCAATTTCGCCCTTGCCCCTCTACTCACCCCCTAAACACACGCACACCCACAAACACCAACGCACACAGCCACACACACACACAAAGCCGTACACACGCACACACACACCACAGGCGCTACCGGTTATGCTACTTACGCCCCCAGCAAGTTTGCAGTTCGCGGCCTGATGGAGAGCCTTCGGAACGAGGTAAGGGTGGCGGGGTGTCGCGCTGCGTTTTTGCAGTCTGCTGCGCAGCAGGGGCGGCGCCTGGCGCAGCAGGCGAGCGCAGCGGCCCGCGCATGGCACCAGCCCTTAGCTTGGGTGTGCCGCTTCGACTGCGTGACCAGCCGCGCCGCGCCTCGCCATCTTGTGCGTGCGCGCCTCAACCGCTTGTGCTGCACCCGCCCTGCAGCTCCAAGGCACCAATATTCGGGTGAGCATATCATACCCCCCGGACATGGACACCCCTGGGTACGCAAAGGAGAACCTTACTAAGGTGCGTGGTGGGGGGGGAGGGGGCGGCGGGCGCGATCTCTGACGACGCATCCTCGCAGCGGTGCGCCGGCTGACCTTGGAGTGTGGACTGCCTGTGCATGCGGTCGTGCCTGTATTTCTGCAAGCGCGCGTGCGCGCCGCATGCGCATGCAGCCGGCCAGCTCGACGTGCAGCTGTCGCCCTAGTCTGGCCCTGAGGGGAGCCGCGTCGGCCTGCGCCTGGCTTGGCAGGGGTCCCGCATCAGTCCTTGCGTGACCCCTCGGCTTCCGTCCGCCCCTGCCCACCCTTCCCACCCGCTCAGTCCATCGAGACGCGGGAAATCTCGGAGGACTTTGTGTACCCGCCAGACAAGGTGCGAAGCGGGCGAAGCACGCCCACGCACCGCTGCGCCACCCGGGGCCGCGCACCGCCGCCCAGCCACTGCCAAGCCGGCCGGCCTTTCCCGACCCTGACACCCCCTGCGACCGTTCGCAACCCAACCAGCCGCCTACCCCCTCATCCCCTTGCTCGTGCCGCCCACACGCTCCCTGGGCCCCTCCCACAAAAGCCTCTTGCACGCACAACCCCCCGCACCCCCGGGCTGGCCCCCCCTCTCTCCTTCCCCCCAGGTGGCTTACTCCATCTTGCGCGGCATGGCGCGCGGCTGCTGGGTGACCCCCAACGTGCGCCTCGACGTGGACCTGCTGCAGGATCTGACAATCGGCCTCGTGCCCCGCGGCGGGCTGCTGCGCTTCCTCTGGCACACCCTGCG